CCAACGCGCAGAATGGGTTGATCTTGTGCAAGAGTTGACGAATGTCCTCCACCGTGAAGACCAAGTCGGTTAGAGGCTGTTCGTAGTTTCGCCTTGACAAGAGTGGATGTGATGAAGACGCTGGGGCTGAGTATAGACACGCATAGGTTTGTCTGTAAACCTCACATACCGCTTTTGGGTCATTCGTCGGTTCTCCGTTTCTGGCTCTCAGGGAGAACGCGGATGTTTTGTTTCGGCGGTGATGTCTCATGTATTTGAAGAAGACGTTTTTGTTTTTTCGAAGCCGTTTTAGGCCTGGTGTCAGACTAACGTGGTTGACGATTATTTGATGTAGTCCTGCCCAATTATGCATCCACTTCAAGAAGACTATACGCAAACTTGCACCTGCGATAGTTTTTGTGCCTGACACATTCGAAATCAGGTATTCCCAGCACCCTAATGCCTTTATTGTCGTAGAACACCAAGGATTCGTTGTAAGAAATTTTCTGCCCAACATATCTACTTCCGTTTTCCCAGACGAAAGGTGTCACTCCCATCGTTGTGGTAACCCACAAACGGCTACCCCTTTTTCGGGGTCGCCTAGTTTCAACCAGCTATGCGTTCCGCAAATTGTACGCAATTTAGTCCCACTTTAGCACCAAATTAGTTTGCAGATGGGTTTATTTCGTCATACATTACTACTGTTTTCGTTCAACGATGTCTACACAATATTGTGGGCGAGATGGGCAAAGTGGTTAGAACGCGAATTTACTGACCATATGGTCCGTGGTTCGAATCCAACCTCTGCCTCTCGACTTCCCTTGTCTAGACTTGGGCGACCTGGCGGTATCCCAGCCCTCGTGCTTCCTTCATGTGGCATGGCAGCTAGACACCGAAATAATGCTACGGCTGAACGCTCCACAATATTATGGATGTGTTTCCGACGCTGGAATACGACGTACTTTGGTCATCCAGTATTAGTTCGTTGGACTTCTGTCCACTGACCAGGTTGGTAAGAAAAGATGTGTGAATGGCGCGTTGACCTTTTGTAGTGTAGTGCAATCTGTTTCTATGGTAAGCAGGGTAAAGTTCAGACATTTCAGAACGAAAGTTTCCTGGGCTAGTTACTAACCACCCCAGAAACCTGATCAGAAGAAGCTAGTTGGCTTTCGGTACACACCGGTACACGCGGTTGTGGTCAGCACTATCCTCTGCTCAGTGTCTTCCACAGGCCTGCCGTTTCAGCTGCACTCGGATGTGGAGAGTTGAGCACCAGGTCATCCATCACAAGCATTTCTCAAGCTACTCCGCTAACTGTGGAAACGCTGCAGCGGCTCCTCATCCGCGAACTAGTGACAGTGATTTTCGACGTCGCGTGATTACTTTTCTTCCGCTGAACTAGACCCGGTTATGAGTTCTCTGAGATTCAGGGCGATGGATGTCTCTGTCTACTGCTGTTTTGTTCGTGATCTAAAGGTAGTATTAGTGACTAGGAACATCTTGACAGAAATTGGGTCGAATTTCTCTGAACCGAATGCAATTTATTCCACTCTTCCTCACCTTTTCACTCTCCATTTTCAGTTTCTTCCTGTTGGCATAGGCTGTTTGGCCGTTTGTATCGCCGTCTCCAACGTTGTCACCTTTAGGACTATCTGAAAGAGGTGGTACCATGTTTGGACTCTCCCGCTCTTCCACCCTGGGTCTTTTAAAACAGTTTGTGAAGCCGACCGTCTTGAGGCGGACCACCATTTCTCTCTGCACAAGTCCTTCCTGCTCCAGTTCCCTCATTCCAATCGTCCTTGACAAAACAAATCATGGAGAGCGAGCCTATGATATTTATTCCAGACTGTTAAAAGATCGAATAATTTGTTTGATGGGACCCATAAATGACGAAGTGGCGAGTGTTGTGATTGCTCAACTCCTCTACCTGCAATCCGAGGATAAGAAATTACCCATTCATATCTATATCAATAGTCCAGGTTTGTGCGTCGCCCGCTGTATTAATTTTAAAATTAGGTGGTATTGTTACTGCTGGTTTGGCAATATACGACACAATGCAATATATCCGACCTCCTGTGGCCACCTGGTGCGTCGGTCAAGCCAGCAGCATGGGTTCTCTCCTTCTAACGGCGGGAGCCCCAGGTCTTCGATTTGCTCTCCCTCATGCCCGTATAATGGTACACCAACCATCTGGCTCCGCCCAAGGTATGAATGGACCTATTATTACCGATTTCCGTGCCTCGTTCTCCTAGGGCAAGCATCCGATATAAAAATTCAAGCGGAGGAGATTTTAAAGATGCGTAAAGTGCTCAATGCCATTTACGAAACGCATACGAAGCAGCCCTCACAAGTGGGTACCCCTTTCTAATTATTTCATTGTGCATATGATGCTCGACAACTTCTCAACACCATCAAGTTGAGTTCAAGGGAGGTTATTCGTTAAGGCGCGAACTCACTGGTCGGAAGGCTCGTCGTCCGAGCCCAACCGCAGTATCATGGCTGCTCCGATCTAGGCTTGGATAAACTTACGGTATCTCATCTAGCCTGCTTCCTTCGTGTGGCATCTCGACTACGCGCCGAAACATCGCAGCGAAGTGATTATTATGGGTACTAGCATTTTAAAGCCGGTGCGCTATCCATGATTTCCTACGTTCACCTTCAATCGTCTGCGGTGATTGGGACTGTTATGTCCTCTTTGATGTTATATCAGTCGGACACGTTAGATCACTGGAGGGAGTTATACTGCAAACAAGTGGACCGTTCCGTGGTATGGGATTCAACTGAATCAAAATACGAAAAGAGCTAACAGTTCAATAGGGTGTCAGTGATAGGCTGAAATGTAGAAACAAGGTTTTAGTATACAAGACAAATCGTTAGTTAACTGGTTTGTTCGTTTGGAGGTATTCCTCCTAACACCTCCCCTTCGAAGTGCTCGATCGTAGGACTGCTGCAGAGGGTTGAGTTGCATTGGTATGACGGGCTTTCATATTCGATCGGTCCGTCTTCTAGGTGCGCAACTTTTGGAAATTGTTGGTTCATTCATCGGCTCTGGAGATTTCGGCTTTTGAGCTAACTTAAATGTGAATGTGGGGAGAAGAATCTCCAGTGGAAAAACAGGGTCGTGTGTAGGTGCCGCTGGAAGATAGGAAGCGCGTAGCTGATTGGCAAGACGGACCCAGACATAGGAGCCTACTTTTACCTCATAGACAACTCTTCCTGCAAGGCGCGCAATTATGCCTTGTGTCCGCTTTTCCGCGCCGCCATGATAGTCGCTAGAACAGATTGGCCGGGCATAAATATGTTATTTACAGCACCGTAATGACGGCTGAACTGAAATTCCGTATTTATGTTTATACCGGTTGGCGAATGTGGTGTTGGACGGATGATTTCAACGGGTAAGCGGATCTTCCGGTTCGTAAGTACCTCCACCGGGAATTACCATGTAGTGCGTTAATATTTGGTGTCGCCCTGTAACTCAGCAGAAAAGTCTCCATGATTTCCGGTGTAGTACCCTTTGAGTTTTTGGACTGCGCGTTTGAAAGTGTCCACAAATTTTTCCACTTGGTCATTTAATTGTGAATGAAACGGTGGCGATCGCACATGTTGTATGCCATTTTCCTGACAGAAATCGGAAAATTTAGCGGAAGTGGATGCACTACCGTTGTCAAGAACAATGATATTTGGAATTCCGAAGTGGCTAAACACATGTTGTAGTTTTAAAGTGGTAGCCTCAGCAGTAATATGGTTCATGTTAAACACTTCTGGCCATTTGCTATAAG